TTATCTCCAATGGTTGATAACTGTGGATCATTTGACTTCACACTCTTTAAAGTACTAATTAATAAATAAAATTTGTTATTATTATTAATTAATTAATTAATTACTAGACACAGCCTATTATGGCGGTTGGATCTCAAAGAGGATTCTCACAGACGAAGATTAAAGACATTACCTAATCACAATGGATCCACTCACAGTAACGCAGTGAGGAGCAACCCTGAACAACTAGCAATGGAGGATAAGAGGTACTGTATATTGTATACTAGACGAATGTAAAACATTAAAGGGGCGAGCCTAAGCAAGCCATAGTGCATTATTTATGAGCAAGCAAAGCAATTGTATACATGTTCATGCAAAATACAAAAAAGTGAAAATTTTGTCCAAGTGTGTCATTAGCTAGTCATCTGATCACTTATGAAATCTCTGCAGCAATTGGTTATAGCAAGCATGAAAGATCTGTTAGAAGCAGTCACTGAACGATTTGTATTTTGAAGAAGTTTGTACTTCTACAGCCTTCAACTTTGTTAACCTTCCTTGCTCCTAGAGTAGAGATGATTTAGTTACAGCACAGTAGAAATTACATGCAGCTTTTTCATGGGAGCATTCAGCTTATCAAAATCCTTTATATCAATGAAAAGATTGTATACCTGCTGTCCCAACCTTCCTTGCTGCTACAGAAGTCTTTGAACGTCAGTTTAGTCTTTTCTTGCTGACCGTTTGCTGCAAGCCGCCATTTTATTAATTGTGACCACACCCGTTTTTAATGAAGATCAGGCTATTTAACTTTAATAATAGTTAGACGAACGTATGCCGTACATACAAACAGACGTTTTCTCGCCCCAATTATTATTTATTTATTATTATTATTATTATTATTATTATTATTGTTAGTTCATTTGATCCTAATCTGTTACTGTCTCCATTGCCGACTGATGAAGATCGACTCACTGATGAAAGAGTAGGAGAAGAAGAAGGAGATATTATAGTAGAGAATAAAGAAAGTGAATAATAATAATGAGACACCTGCTTCATATACTCCCTCCCTCCCTCCTTATAGCTCCTCAGGTTTCATTAGACTGTTCAATGATATTCCTCTCCTATGTACTACCTGGTACCCTGTCATTCACTAAACAACACTTCACCTTCACTGCTGATGACTCATCTACTGAATATAATAAAGTATCTCAAATTGTAAGCAGCTATCAGTTATACCTTAAATATTCTAATTGTTAGTATCATTACATTATTCTTTATTGCTAGTGTGACTATTGCCCATTAAGTGACCAGTGGTTATTGGCCAGTGTTACTGCTGTGTTCTCTCGGTATTACATTCATCAGTTTAAAGCACTAGAGATATTCTTTAATGATAAAAGTATATGTAGTACTATCATTCATCTTATCATTATATATACTACTACATTAGGTTCAATATTCATTGTGTTAAAGAGTCCTTCAGATAGAAAGACAGTCATTAATCTACTGCCTAAAGTTGGTATTGGACCGAACTATGGACTACCACAAACAAGGTAGAGCAACATGAACTAACATACACACTCTCTGGTACAGTACATATTGATGTCCTTATGCTGTGTAGAAAGTTTAAGCAGATTCTGACTTCAATTTTTCAAGTTTTGGCCATTTTTAAAAACCGGCAAAATTCTGAAAAATTCCCTGTACTATTAGCCCATGGTTTTTTCCAAAAAATGGCTCCAGAATCACCCCCAAGTTTTATTACATTTTCTGATACATATTGATGTCCTTATGCTGTGTAGAAAGTTTAAGCAGATTCTGACTTCAATTTTTCAAGTTTTGGCCATTTTTAAAAACCGGCAAAATTCTGAAAAATTCCCTGTACTATTAGCCCATGGTTTTTTCCAAAAAATGGCTCCAGAATCACCCCCAAGTTTTATTACATTTTCTGATACATATTGATGTCCTTATGCTGTGTAGAAAGTTTGAGCAGATTCTGACTTCAATTTTTCAAGTTTTGGCCATTTTTAAAAACCGGCAAAATTCTGAAAAATTCCCTGTACTATTAGCCCATGGTTTTTTCCAAAAAATGGCTCCGAAATCACCCCTAATTTTTATTACATTTTCTGATACATATTGATGTCCTTATGCTGTGTAGAAAGTTTGAGCAGATTCTGACTTCAATTTTTCAAGTTACGGCCATTTAAAAAAAATGGGCCAAAATTTGAAAATTCCCTGTACTATAGCCCATGGTTTTTTTTCCAAAAAATGGCTCCGAAATCACCCCCAATTTTTATTACATTTTTTGATGGATACTAAAGTTTGAGCTTAAGTTATGAATCTCTTTTTATTCATTCAAAGGTCTGTCTCCCTCTCTCCTCCAAGACAGCTGTTCAAGAGGTCAGATATGACTGATAAGTGGATTAAATCAGAAATCAGTAACTTTGACTACCTCATGTTCCTCAATACAGTCGCAGGTCAGTATTTTATTCAAATTTTGAACTACATTTAAAAATTGAAAAAATACAGCAAAAAGTAAAAGTAAAAGGACAAAATTATGTATAAAGTAAACCTAATAGTTATTAATAGTTATTAAACTTGCTCTGGTTTGAACGTGTTGTTGCTGATGACACTTATCGGCAGCTGGAGTGGTGGTTCAAACAGTACACGTTTCATTGCTTTAACATCTTCAGCAGCATCATGAGCAGGGAACCCCTCATTAAACAGGTGCTGGTATACACTGGTCAGTTTTAAAGATACTTTACTGGACACTTGAACTCCAGCTGGACCCATTCCCCCATCAACACTCTCAGTGTTGGTTAAGAATGGGTTATTCTCTTTCTGTAGCTCTCGTAGTATTGATAGACTGTCAGAGAAACAAACACTTATGTCATTCAATTTCTTTGCTGTAACGCTAATCTTGCGTAGGGCATTAATTAGAATAGGAGCGTCATATCGTCTGCCGTTGTGAGCCAACAGGATCAGACGACCTGATGGGTGGAGCTTCTTGTGTTTCCGTGACAACTGGCACAGGTACATGTAGAACTCCTTGAGCCCATCGATGTAGCTCTTAGCCGGCAGCTCCTGCCCTCTCTTTAGAAGGATCCTCTTACCATTCTCATTTTTAGATACTTTAAGACCATTCACTCTTGAAGCACCAGGGGCTATGTTTTTAGTCGGTACTAAGTACCGGGACCACACCCTTTCCTCCCCTAGCACCTGGACTGATACTTGACATATATCAGAGTTTAGGGGAAGGTCAGTAGTCTCTAGATCAAACAGTAAGACCATATCAGTAGGGAGAGGAGGGGGAGGAGGGGAGGGAACAGGTGCTGTTGGTAACACATTATCACTTATGGAGTGATCATCCATTGCTATGCCATTATTGGTTGCTACATGTAGGTCCTTAGTTCCTATTGCTGGGTTGTTGTTAGTGTCCATGGTGTCCATGGTGTTGTTCATTGGTTGACCAGTGTCCATTGTCTGCGTACCATTAGCCTCCTCTTGTTCCCCATTCATTCCCACTGTAGTATCATTGTCATTATTGTTAGTGTCTGGTAGGTTAGTATTGTTATTATTATTCAGTAGTGTACTAGTCTCCATTCCTTTATCAGCTACCTCCTCTTCCTTTATACACGGACTGTCCTTCAGCCCATTAACTCCTGTATACATTACTCCAGCAGATAGACTAGTGATGGTGTCTTTAGTGATGATTCCTTCAGTAATGGTTCTTTTAGCAGGTGTGTTGTTAGGAGTAGCTGGTACTGGCCTTAATGGTGATGGATGGTGTCTAATACTGCTTAAAGGGCTCCTTGTCAATACAGCAGACTCTAGTCTGTGTTTAACTGGTGTAGTGATGGTAGCTGGTCCTTCTACAGTATCTTTTTCTTCTTCTGTTGTAGTGGCTCCCTTACCTCCACTGTATCTCCTCTGCTGTACTGTTCCTGTGCTGCTGATGGCTGTTGGTGTCCTTCTTATGATCCTCTTGCTGCTGTTGGCTCCCATTCCTTTTATATAAAGTCTTCACTTTTCCTTCTTAAAATTTACACCTTCTTCTCTTCTCTGACCTACTTTTGAAATTTCAGTAAATAGTATCCTCCTATTTTTAGCAGGCCCTCCCCTTTTGATCAGTTATCTAAACTGTAGGCTGGCCTGTGGGTTCTTTGAACCAATTGATTCCCTGTACATGCACAGCAGCTATTATAGATTTATGAGTAGGATTTTCAAAAATTAATAATAAGCTTTGTATAGCAGTGAGACAGTACACATGGTTAATGGTTTTATTCAGTTTCACCAAACATAAAGGTGCTGTTCTTAATAGTGTTCTCATTTACTCCTAACTCAGGATGGAATAAAACACGTTTCATGGCTTTAATATCTTCAGTTGCTTCATGAGCCGAATATTCTTCCTTAAACAGATGATAGTATATCTTAGTAAGACTTAGCGATGTCCTGTACAGCTTTGGTCCTGACTCCTCCTCCTTGTTATTCGTCTGTTTATTAAACAATGGAAAGGGTGGTGATTCTGTGTGAAGTAATGGATGACCTTCATATTGAATCTTGCGTATTATCAACAAGCTATCGGAAAAGCAAACTTTAAGGTCTTGAAGCTCCTTAAACCTGACGTCAATATTCTTAAACGCATTTAGGAGTATTGGGGCATCAAAGCTCTTGCAGTTATGAGCTAGCAATATGAGACGAGAGTTTGGATCAAGTGCTTTCTGTTTTATTGATAGTTGCTGCAGATACTCATAAAAGCACTTTAGTCCATCTTTATAAGGTTTAGCTTCAAGTAGTGGGGTGTCATTCTTGCAGAGGATCCTTTCTCCTCTTTCATTTGTTTTAACAGCTAGTCCAGTTACTTCAGTAGCTTCTGGGTAGATTTCTTGTGTAGGTACAAGATATTGGGACCATACTTCCTCTTCTCCGAGGACTTGAGCTGATATCTGACAAATATCTGAAGTACGTGGCAGTCCTGTTGTCTCCAGATCAAATAAAATAATGACATCATGAGGAGTGGAAGGAAGAGGAGGGGACATGGAGAGTTTAGTGGTGCCTGCTATCTCTTTGTTATTAATCCGTTGAATGCTTGATTCAAACTCGACTGTCATCAGCCATTTGCCATGTTCATCTTCAAATGATTTTTTAATGAATGTCCCATGCTTGATGTGAGTGGGCGGTAATGAGTCGCCCCTAACGATCGAAATACTTTTAGAAAACCATATCCCTTTATCGTTTAAATCCTCAGATGTGATGTTAATTTTTGTGAAAGCCTTTAACAGCACTTGTGCAAAAAATGGTTTCGAGTTATTTGGTGCTAGTATGAGGTAGGTACTATCCCTTGACAAGGAGCAGATAAAACTGTAAAATTCTCTTAGCCCTTCGGAGTAGCCCCTTGTAGGAACTAAGATGCCATTTCTAGTTAAGATCCTCTTTCCCTCTCTATCCCTTGTGATCATCATGTTTTTAGCTGCTGTCATGTTCTTGGCTATATTCTTGTGAGGCAGTAGATAGGAGGACCAGAACTGGTTAGTCTCAAACGATTGTGCCCTTATTTGGAATATATCGGAATGTTTTTGTAAGCTTGTAGTTTCAAGAGCAAAGACAATTACTGTGTCATCATCACGTACTGTGCTAGTGGATCTAATTGACAGGCTCTCACTCATCTCACAATCCATGCTGCAGCTGCTGTCCTCCCCACTGCTAACTGAGTGGTTGCTAGCTTCTGGGTAATCATTATTGACTTCCATAGTTGCTGGTAGAATTTTCTTATAATAGTAGGAAATGGGAGTAGAAGAAAGTAGGCGACTGTAACATGAATAGCCTAACCTTTTGGTTAACTTGTCTAAACCACCCATCACTAGTAAAAGAAGCACTCATGTGACTGACTGAAATCTTATAACACACTATGAGTATGATGTAATAGCTCTAGATTATCTCAAGATAATCTAGGCTATTACCACAGTATGTGTGTTTATAAGATTTCAGTCTCCTCTTATGTGTTTTTGTTTTAATGAGTCCCATCCTTTTTTCCATTCTCTTTCATAGGTCGTTCATTCAATGATTTGAGTCAGTACCCTGTGTTCCCATGGATACTCAGTGACTATAAATCAAAAACCATTGACCTGAAGGACTCAGCGATATACAGGGACCTTTCTAAAGTAATTAATAATGATAATAATAATAATTTTATTTTTCAATTAAATGTAGCCGATAGGATGCCTCAACCCATCTCGTTTGGACCAGTACCTGGAGAGGTATGAAATGTGGGAGAGTGACTCCATCCCTTCCTTCCATTATGGCACCCACTACTCTACAATGGCCTTTGTGGTCCATTGGCTGGTTAGAGTGGTAAGTCTTCAGTTTAAATTCTTTCTCTATCACCTGCTGCTCAGGAGCCGTTTACTAGTATTCATATTGATCTTCATGATGGATTCTTTGATCATGGCAGCAGACTATTCTCCTCTATAGCAAGAGCTTGGAATAACTGTCAAGTTGACTCGTCTGATGTCAAAGTAACAGCAGCTCCTTTTAGAATGACACTTTTATTTTAATGCTATTATAGGAACTTATTCCAGAGTTGTTTTATCTTCCAGAAATGCTACAGAACAACAATAAGGTATAATGATAGTGTTTGAGCAATGAAGTAATGGCGAAACTTTCTTTTAAATTGTTTTAGTTTGTCCTTGGGTTTGATGAACATGGGGAATTTGGTGAGGAACTACCAGAAGGACAGCTCAATGTTGTTAATGATGTCCTCCTTCCTCCTTGGGCTGAAAATGCTGAGAAATTTATTGAAATTCATAGACAGGTTTGACCCAGACAGTGTTTATAAAGCAGTTTATACAGTGCAACTGTTGTGTGTCCACCGATAGCTCAGGGGTAGAGCGGAGGACTGTAGTGTGTGCATGTTATCCTTAGGTCGCTGGTTCAAATCCGGCTCGGTGGAGATATTTTCTTTTTTTTTCTTTCCAGTTCTCTATGTTTAGAGATGTCTTTTTTTCTTTTTTTTTTCTTTAGGCATTAGAGTCTGACTATGTTTCTGCTAACCTTCATCAATGGGTTGATTTAATTTTTGGCTACAAGCAGAATGGTGACACATAAGCCATAGTTGTATGTTTAATTGACGTATTCTTAGGTCCTGAGGCAATAAAGTCAACTAATGTATTCTATCACATAACCTACCCAGGATCAGTGAACTGGCAGGCTATCACTGATGAGTATCAGTTAAAAGTAAGATACAGGATATTAATGGAGTACTCTCTCTCTCTCTCTCTCTCTCTCTCTATCCTTTGTTCCCATTGTGTTAGGCTCTGGAGCAGCAGGTCCTTCAGTTTGGACAGACTCCACACCAGCTGCTACTGGAACCACACCTACAGAAACATCTCGCCATTAAAGTAAATCTATTATTAATTAACCTATTATTAATACATTTATTATTATCAATAGGAGTTTCCACCTCAACCGAAATCAAAATTTAATCCAGGTATCGTATCCAATAAAAATTAATAATGAATAATAATAATTAAACTATTCTGTATTGTCCAGCTATTGTTGCTGAGGTTAATGTATCACTGGACGTTCCAATTGGTTGCCTACACCTTAGCTCCACCCACTCTCTCATTGCCATTACTTATAACCAACTGTTTGGCATTTATAAGTGGAACTATACTCAAGGTATTATTTATTTATTTATTTTATTTATTTATTTATTTATTATCTTACACAGGTACTATCAGCCAACCACCACAGATAAGTCTTGAACACGATCAATCCAACAGTAAATATTCTTCATTAATTTTTTTAATCTTATTAATCTTTTCTCCTCGGCTCCTCCCTACAGCTGCTAGTCTTAAGGTCAGATTAGGAGATCCTCTTGATCAAAGTGTCTCATTCTCTTCATCTTGTTTTGATGTGACTCCAGCTGGAGACTACATACTGTCCTGTGGTTTCTGGGACAGCAGCTTTAAAGTTTTCTCCACAGAAACAGGTAACATAGAACCAACTTCATGTAGTTATGTTGTGTAGAAAGTTTGGATTGGTTTTTTGTAAAAATTGACTTTTAATATATTTCATCAAAAATGAAAAGGAAAAAATTCTTCATTTTTATTACATTTTCTGATACATATTGATGTTCTTATGCTGTGTAGAAAGTTTGAACTGATTCCGACTTCAATTTTTCAGGTTATGGCTGTTTTAAGAAAATGCCAAAAATCTGAAAAATACCCAAGGCTATAGCCTTGGGTATTTTTCAGATTTTTGGCATTGTTTTTTCTGAAAAATGGCCAAAAAATCACACCAAATTTTTATTGCATTTTCTGATATATATTGATCTTCTTATGCTGTGTAGAAAGTTTGAGCTGATTCCGACTTCAATTTTTCAAGTTACGGCCATTTAAAAAAGGGCAAAATTCTGAAAAATACTCAAGGCCATGGTTTTTTCCAAAAATGGCTAAAAAATCACACCAAAGTTTTATTACATTTTCTGATACATATTGATGTTCTTATGCTGTGTAGAAAGTTTGAGCTGATTCCGACTTCAATTTTTTAAGTTACGGCCATTTTAAGAAAATGCCAAAAATCTGAAAAATACCCAAGGCTATAGCCCATGGTTTTTTCCAAAAAATGGCCAAAAAATCAGCCCCAATTTTTATTACATTTTCTGATACATATTGATGTCCTTATGTTGTGTAGAGAGTTTGAGCCGATTCCGACTTCAATTTTTAAAGTTACGGCCACTTTAAGAAAATGCCAAAAATCTGAAAAATACCCAAGGCTATAGCCCATGGTTTTTTCCAAAAATGGCCAAAAAATCACACCAAAGTTTTATTACATTTTCTGATACATATTGATGTCCTTATGCTGTGTAGAAAGTTTGAGCTGATTCTGACTTCAATTTTTTTAAGTTAGCCATTTTAAAAAAATGCCAAAAATCTGAAAAATACCCAAGGCTATAGTCCATGGTTTTTTTCCAAAAAATGGCCAAAAAATCAGCCCCAATTTTTATTACATTTTCTGATACATATTGATGTCCTTATGTTGTGTAGAAAGTTTGAGCCAATTCCGACTTCAATTTTTAAAGTTACGGCCACTTTAAGAAAATGCCAAAAATCTGAAAAATACCCAAGGCTATAGTCCATGGTTTTTTCCAAAAATAGCCAAAAAATCACACCAAAGTTTTATTACATTTTCTGATACATATTGATGTCCTTATGCTGTGTAGAAAGTTTGAGCTGATTCTGACTTCAATTTTTTAAGTTAGCCATTTTAAGAAAATGCCAAAAATCTGAAAAATACCCAAGGCTATAGTCCATGGTTTTTTTCCAAAAAATGGCCAAAAAATCACCCCCAATTTTTATTACATTTTCTGATACATATTGATGTCCTTATGTTGTGTAGAAAGTTTGAGCTGATTCCGACTTCAATTTTTCAAGTTACGGCCATTTAAAAAAAACGGCGAAATTCTAAAAAATACCCAAGGCTATAGTCCATGGTTTTTTTCCAAAAAATGGCTCCAAAATCACCCTCAGTTTTTATTACATTTTCTGGTACATATACATGTACTTATTCTGTAGGTCTATCAGTTCAGTCAGTGTTTGCCCACAGAGGTATAGTCTCTTGTATTTCTTTCTCTCCTGAGGAGGGGCTTCACTCGTTGGCTGGTGATGCTCTTGTTGCTACTGGATCACATGATGTCACCGTGTTGCTATGGCGATGGTCAGGGAGATATAACCGTATTGTAAACCAACTGGGAACCTCAACTCAAAGTAAAGAGAGAGAGAGAGTGTGTTCCTTTATTATTCCACTAGGTTCAGTTAATCCTATTGCTATTTTGAATGGACATGAGAAGACTATTACTTGTGTTGCTGTTTCTGCTAGTCACGGGCTAGTGGCCAGTGGAGCTAAACGTAAATAACAATTACAATACATTATTTATTTATTATTATTCATTTATTATTATTTATTTATTATTATTTATTTATTGTTATTCATTTATTATTATTTATTTATTGTTATTGTCTTCATTAGACGGTTGTTGTCTCATTCACTCTACTAACGGAGAACTACTACATAAACTGGTCCCCAGCAACCCTTGGACCCACCCACACATTATAAAGTCGTCACCTCAAGGACACTTTATTGTGCATTATGCTGATCAAAAAGGTTGTCTTGCTGTTTTCAGTTGTAATGGAAAGCAGCTCTGCTATAAAGGACTAGGGGAACCAGCCTTAGTAACCAATGCACTATCAATGAATGATGTTTATTATTATAATCATTACAGGCAGTCTCAGTATCAAATGATGGTCAGTATCTAGTGATTGGTGGGTTCAGCTCTCGTGTATACGTACTGCTACTGGACTCACTGAGTGTTGTGCATGCTTATGATAAGAATGAGAGTAGCATAAGGTCACTGCACATGTCTAAGGACAACAGGTGAAGTATCACTAGTGGCTTGTGATTATTGTTAGTGTATGATTACTGTTAGGTTCATTTTCATTGGTCATTCATCAGGAGTAGTATCCGTCTTTGCAACTCATTTCTGGAGAACTTAAAAGTATAATAATTTTAAAATTAGCTGCTACTTTTGATTAATTTTATGTCATTTTATAGCTGTTGTTGGTCATTAAAATTGTGCATTTTAGTTCAATAAACATTATTATTATTAGTATAACTTGAGACAGTAAAGCCTTACAGCAGCATTACTGTGCACTGTTGAAACAGATAGAGATCAGGTCTATCTCGACAACACTTGTGTGCAGTAATTACAACAGAATACATACAACATTGTATATACTACAACTACCAGTATATAACCAAACCATATAGAGACCTACTTGGATTAAACACACACACACACGCACGCACACTGTTGGCATAGACTATAAACTAATGACCCAATGTAAACTGTAAACTGTATATAATAGCAGCTATATGGCAATATTTCCTGGTGCATACTGGTGCTATCTTGTATACATTGTACATGTAGCTATAAATGGTAATTGCTGGTTTAAGAACAATTTTTACGCTAGCAATTAACACAATAATGAAATATTTTATGTTTAATAAATAAACTGCACAGACTGACAATGATAATCATGTACTACAACAGTACTGTTACATGAATTGTGTGTTTAAAATTGGACAAGTTATACTCAATTGTCAGTAAAAGGGCTTGAGTCAACTGTGCCAGGTGGTTCTTCCTTCTTCTTACAAAGCTTGCTTCTAATGTCCTCTCTGAAGCACGACTGAGCTAATGGACTGAGAGTTGTTATTGATAGAAATAAGATGTAAGATGTAGCATACACCTCCTTTGGCAGGCTGACAAAAATGACTACACCAGCAGTTATTATTCCAGGAAGATAAGAAATGAAATGAATAAATAATAAGACACCAAACAGCACTATAAGCTTTCTTCTTGCAGCAACATACTGATCAATGCTTCTCTTTCTCCCGGGCCCAATGGATGACCTCTCCTTTCTTCTTCTGATGTACATGAACAAGTAACAGAAAGTCCAACATGACGTTACCACAATGGTACCAACAATACTCACGAATATGATCAACATGTACACCACATACCCAACATGTCCTTCCCAAATTGGAGAACAACCAGCGTAACTTTCCAAGAAGTTATAAGTCCCAAAACCAAAGAAAGGTGTGACATTGAGAACTATTGCTAGACTCCATGTGATTATGATTGCAAGTAAAGCTCTTCTAGGAGTCACTAGACTATCGTAACGCATAGCTTGTACTATGTAGATCCATCGATCAATTGATAGTAGCATCAGACTGAGTGATATTAGGAGGACGCTATTCCAGTATATGTAACCTGCCAAGTTGCATGTAATAAGTTTCTGATCCACTGTTACTCCAAATATCCAGCCTCTACTAGCCAGTGAGATTATGTTCAGTGGCATTACCAAGAGGACAGTGAAGAGGTTACAGATTAACATGTTTGTGAGGAATAAGGTTGATGGCTTCTTCCAAGTGCCTGATGAGCAGTGACAAATTGTTATTATAAGTACAAACGAGTTGGCAATGAGTCCTGCTATCATCTCTATACTGATAACTGCTGCTAGTAGGGGACCATTGATATCAGCACTTAGAGTGAAGTTGTAGTTACGGAGTAGAACATCTTGCTGCTCATCATCCATTGTATGCAGCCAAGACCAGCCACTCCGCCTTTTATTGAGCCACACCCTTAACACCCAGAAATTGCAAAGTTTTGAAAAAATTAATAAAAAATGTATTTAAGTATGCAAGTGTGTTAGCATGAAGCTTCTAGAGTTCTGTCTTTCGCATTTGCTAGCTCCTTCCTTCCTTTGACATTTTATGATCTTTGACACAGCCTCTCTCATGTCACGTCTAAAAATGATTTGAACAAGAGGACTAAGTACAGTGATCAATAGGAACAAGACATATACTGATGCATATACAGGCTGGGGCAATGGAGTGAATATAACAGCAACAATAGCAACCAAACCAGGAGCATAGCAGGTCAAATAAACAACCATCATCATCCCAAAGAGACCAATCAATCTCTTCTCTTTAGATATGTAGACACTGCACTGCTGGGGTATTCGTGATATGAACTCTGTCCTTAACCTCTCACTTTGGAGGAACCTCCTGGTATAGCAGTAGGTCCATAGGGTGGTGGTTACAATACTGCCAATGTAGAATATGAATATAATGAAGGTGTATATGACATGACCCATCTCTTCTTCCCACAGTGGTCCACATGACCCATAGCTGTTAATGAATCCAAATGATCCCAGACCAATGAAAGGAGTTATGTTCAGTATTGAAGCTATCAGCCATGAGAAAGCTACAATGGACAGTGATCTCTTTCCTGTCATGTACCTTTCATACATGAAAGACTTGACAATGTAGAAGAACCGATCAAACGAGAGTATAACTAAACTCTGTGTGATTAGCAGGACACTGTACCAGTAAAGGTACCCAGCAAAATAGCAATATTTGACTTGTTCTGCTTCAGTCTCACCTAACATCCACTTACCATTGCTGCAGGTTGTGATGGGAAAAGGCATCACAAAGAGGACAATCAGGAGGTTAGATATCAGCATGTTAGTAAGGAATATAGTAGAGGGTTGTTTCCAAGTCTTTATATGGCATATAGTCAGTATGAGTACAAATGAGTTAGCAATGAGTCCTCCTATCATCTCTACACTGATAACTGCTGCCAGTAGGGGGCCATTGATATCACCACTTAGAGTGAAGTTGTGATTAAGTTCAATGATATCGTCCATTGAGGAAGAAGACTTTGGTCTGAATAGAAAGTACTTTAAATACTCGTTGGAATTTCTCATTGATAAGATTGCAGTTGCTATTATAGTTTTCAAGTTCATTGTTGTTACTTCATTGTTCAAAAATATAATAAAATCCTGTAAATAACTAATTTTATAGCTATTAAATAATGAAAATATAACACACAAACAATAACTGGATTTTAGTTTTCGGAACTGGATGCAATCCGAGTATATTTTTTATTAAAAAGTTTAGCCACTTCAGAGCACCAGCCAGTCAGCTTGACTACAGTACCTCTTATATCTCGCCTGAAGAAAGACTGCACTAGAGGACTTAGGACAGTAAGCAAAAGGAAGAGTAAGAAAATGGTAGCATAAAGTTGAGGAGGTGGAGCAGTAACCAGCTCCATTAGAGCTACTATCATACTGGGAAGGTAACAGAGTAAGTGTACAATCATTATCATACCAAAGAGACCAATGACTCGTCTCTTCCTTGATGCATATATATCATTAGTATTGCCATCATTGTTTACATCAAACAACTGTAACCTTTGTCTTTCCATGTTTAAGTAACGCCTTGTGTAAATCATAGTCCAGGAGGACGTTATGATGATGCTCAACAAGAAAATGATGAATACTATTAGCATGTATACTACATAGCCAGGCTCTCCTTCCCAGCGTGGGACACAAATACCGTAACTTGAAGAAAAACCAAAACGCCCGAGACCAAACAATGGTGGGATAGTTAGCAGGGCAGCAAGTAGCCATGACAGTGTCACTATTATTATTGATATTTTCCGGTTCATGTGTCGCTCGTATTCAAAAGACTTGACAATGTAAAAGAACCGATCAAACGATAGCAACACGAGACCTTCTGTGATTACAATCACACAGAACCAAAACATGAAAGCCGTAAACTGGCAAGCCTTCACTTTCTGTTTGTCAGTTTTTCCGAACAACCACTCACCACTTGCTGCAGTTGTAATTGCAAAAGGCATCACAAAGAGGACAATCAGGAGGTTAGATATCAGCATGTTAGTAAGGAATATAGTAGAGGGTTGTTTCCAAGTCTTTATATGGCATATAGTCAGTATGAGTACAAATGAGTTAGCAATGAGTCCTCCTATCATCTCTATACTGATAACTGCTGCTAGTAGGGGACCATTGATATCACCACTTAGAGTGAAGTTGTTTTCATCCTCCATTTTTTGTAGATCTTTTAGATAAGAAGATGAAGATTACAATCTCAGAGAGCCAAGGACTAATGTATCTTGTTTATCTTTTGAGAATTAGGAATGTATCAAATTTGAAGATACACTTGAATGGGTGTAGGCTTCATTTTCAATGTATACCATACGTTTACTTAAAATGGAATTTATACGAGACATCAGTACATGTACATTTATAGATAATACAAAGGAAGAAGTACATCTAGTAGACCATGTTATACTTTAAAGCGTGTGGTTATAGACTGGTATTGAAGAATAAGGAAGAGGAATCAATGGATGCTGTTCATAACAACTTCACTCTAAGTCCTGATATCAATGGCCCCCTACTAGCAGCAGTTATCAGTATAGAGATGATAGGAGGACTCATTGCTAACTCATTTGTACTCATACTGACTATATGCCATATAAAGACTTGGAAACAACCCTCTACTATATTCCTTACTAACATGCTGATATCTAACCTCCTGATTGTCCTCTTTGTGATGCCTTTTCCTGTGATAACATCAGCCTTTGGTGAGTGGATATTTGGAAGTACACTAGACCAAAAGGAGAGTGTATGCAAGTTCACAGCTATCATGAGCTTGTTCTGTGTTGCAGTAGCTACAGAGGGTTTAGCACTCCTGTCATTTGACAGATTCCTTTTCATAGTGAGAGCATTTCAGTACAACAGGTACATGAGTATCAATAAGTCACTAATAGCAATTTCTATATCCTGGGCAATAGCCGGTATTATCAGCATTGTGCCTGTGCTTGAGTTCAACGTGTATGAGTTTGCCTACAGTTTTTGGTACTTGTGTTCCTGGTTTAGAGGAACAGGTTGGTTTTGCAGTATTTGCTTTTATCTATCCAGCACTGCTAGTGGGGAGTATCATTCTAACTTCTCTATGGACGTTCATATTTATGAGGAGATATCTCAGAACAAGAAGGACTAGATTAGACTTCTTATCATCTTGTGGGCAGCAGAGCAACGTTTATGTATCACAAGAGAAGAAGTTAATAAGTCTATTTGGGTCACTACTTATTGTTTATGCTGTGTGCTTCTCTCCATATCTCTGCATTACATTCCTTTCAACACTGATCATCGTACCTCCAGTGTATTACACTCTGGCATTTATCATGTACCTGCTACAAACAACCCTCAGTCCTTTGGTACAGATGTACACATGTACTTCAGAGCTGAACTGAGAAATGCAGTAATGAAGATATTCTGTAAAAGATGCTATAAAGAAAGAGACAGAGCTGAAGATGACAATAGAACTACTGCTATAACCACATTGTATATATAGTTGATTGATGAAGCTACAACATTATTGTAACATCCCTTCTTTCATATATACATAACTAGATGGTCCATTTAGTATTATTATCCTAAACAGGAATAGTAATTTAATGGTTCATAAATTTACTATTAAGGCAATGATTGTATCTACTGTTTTGGTTGCATCTGCCATTGTTTATTCTGATAATCACTCCCTGTATGTAGCTGTTGTAACAACACTTGATAGCTTAATAAGGAAACAGTGGAATTAAGAGTTAAAGTTCACCAAAAATATAAATTAGAGAAATCTTCATTTTTGTTACATTTCCTGATACATATACATGTACTTTTATGTTGCGTAGAAAGTTTGAGCCAATTCCAATCAAAATTGGATTTTAATAAATTTTAAAAGTTTCTCCAGAATCAGGCCAAAGTTCCTTACTATCGGTAACGCTGTAGTGTTACTAAGTAGGATTCACCCTACTTTAAAATGGTTGCCACGACTTTTGCAGCCTTGCTATATAGTACAGGAACTTTGAACAAATTTTGCCAAAAATGAAAATTAGAGAATCCCTCAATATTATTACATTTTCTGATATACCGGTATATATATGTGCATGTACTTATGTTGCTTTAAAAATTTGAGCTGGTTAGTATAAGAATAAGCTCAAGTTTTGTTGCCAGTACAGTGATGATAATTTAAATTAGATTACAATACATCCCATTTGATAAAGCATGCATGAATCAGTTAGTGGGTGGATACTATCAAGCTTGAAGCCCAACATCCACTATGGCAACTTCGTTGAACGCAACTTTGTGGTTACTTTGATGTATGTCAACTTTGTTGCCAAAAGTAGAACAGTGTTCTACTTTTGGCAACAAAATTTCTGTTGATTCCAACAAAGCTGCCTAGCGGATGTTGGGCTTCATGATAGTATAATAATGCTGTTTAACAACAGGAGGAAGAGATAAACTAATAATGGATGACAGGGACGACAACTTCACTTTGTATGCTGATATCAATGGTCCCCTACTAGCAGCAGTTATCAGTATAGAGATGATAGGAGGACTCATTGCTAACTCATTTGTACTCATACTGACTATATGCCATATAAAGACTTGGAAACAACCCTCTACTATATTCCTTACTAACATGCTGATATCTAACCTCCTGATGGTCCTCTTTGTGATGCCTTTTGCAATACTTACTTGTTCCAGTGGCCAGTGGTTACTAGGGAAGACAGTGTCTGAAAAGGAAGCAACCTGTAAAGCTAATGCGTACACTAACATGTCCATATACATCATAGCAACACTGAGTCTGGTACTACTCTCCTTTGATAGATACTTCTTCATAGTAAAGTCCTTTGCTTATCAAAAACACATGACGTCCAATAAAGCAGTTATAATCATCATCATATCTTGGATATTA